AAGAGTGAAGGGGGATTTGATAGCAGCCTTCAACTTTCTGAAGGGAGGTTCCAAAGAGGATGGAGAGAGGCTGTTCTCAGTAGTGACGGATGGCAGAACAAGGAGCAATGGTCTCAAGTTACAGTGGGGGAGGTCTAGGTTGGATATTAGGAAAAGCTATTTCACTAGGAGGGTGGTGAAGCACTGGGATGGGTTACCTAGGGAGGTGGTGGAATCTCCATCCTTAGGGGTTTTTAAGTCTCAGCTTGACAAAGCCCTGGCTGGGTTGATTTAGTTGGGATTAGCCCTGTTTTGGGCAGGGGCTGGACTTGATGACCTTCTGAGGTGTCTTCCAGCCCTAGGATTCTATGATTCTATGACAAGCAACTGGTCCCTAAGCCTTTGTTATTTTAATGCAGAATAGACTTTGGATGAGACACTGGGTGTCGGGAGTACCATCCAAAGGCAGGAAAACTGTGAATGAGTACTGTTAAGAGCTAGAATTGAACACAAATAGTCTCTCCAATTAGTTTGTTTACCTCTGAGATTTGAAAAAAGAATCTATTTTCAGTATTTGCTACAGATACACATACACACACTGCATTATACAAGATCAAATTACCAGGACCCCACTTATTTTGCATGACTATGTCACTATCATTAGTTAGGATAACACTCATCCTCATAGCTGACATTCTGAATGTTAAACAGCAATTTCTAAAGGTTAACAAGGTCTTTTGGAAGCCCAGTAGTAGGTAATCTGCACATGTAGCAGCCATCACCAAGACCTTGATTCAGGAAGGTACTTACTCACATGCTGAAAGTTCAGCCTATAAATCGACTGTTGGAGTCAACGCTTTAGGCCAAAACAGATAGCTCATTAGTGTCAGCAGAGGCAAGTTGAGTCTCCACAAGGAGGATGGCACACATCCTACTTTTACCACCTCCTCAGTGTTGACTGTTTAAATGAGTGGCACTGGCAGTGGTACAGGACAGTAGTTCTCAACCAGAAGTGTGCATATCCCTGGAGATATGAAGAGGTCTTCTGGGGGTACATCAACTCATCTAGATATCTGCCTAATTTTACCAAGGCTACATAAAAAGCACCAGTGAAGTTAGTACGAGCTAAAATTTCACACAATGACTTGTTTATACTGCACTATATACTATCCTCTGAAATGCAAATACAATATTTATATTCCAACTGATGTATAATAATATGGTAAAAGTGAAAAAGCAATTTTTCAGTGACAGTCTGCAGAGACGCTTTTGTACTTTTATGTCTGCAAGTAATTTTCGAGTGAGGTGAAACTTGGGGGTATGCAAGACAAATCAGATTCCTGAAAGGGGTACAGTAGCCTGGAAAGGTTGAAAGTCACTGGAATAGAGGAAGGAATGAGCCCAGAGTTGAAGGGATGGCCAGCTCAGGTAACCTATATAATAAAGAGTAGGGATGGAAACATAGTATGATGCATAATTAAGGTTGTGAATCTGTCAAGGAGGTCACAGAAGTCATGGACTTTGTGACTTTCTGTGACCTCTGCCATGACTTCTGCAGCAGCTGGTGTAGCTGACCCAGGGACCATCTGAGCAGCCTGGGCAACCCCTGGGCCAGCCACACCAGCTGCCTTTGGAGCATTCTCCGGCCA